AGTCGTCATGCTTAACAAAGTACTCCACAGAGCCATAAAATATCAATAATAATATTTTTTATAAGTAATGACTTATATTACATTAAATTAAATCAAGAGAAATATTGGTTAATACTGTAATACAAAACAAACATACGTGAGGTCTGTTCGAATAAAGAAGATTGCAATGATGAAGATTGATAACCAGATATTTTTCCCGTAAATGTATCTACAGTATAACAAAACTTACGATAATAATGAAATCATAGACTTCAGCATGGCTATTTGCATGTTTTTCATATAATGTCGAAATTTCAATTTTCCGCATATTTACCTTCTGAGAGAGAGAGAGTGAGAGAGAGAGTACACAACTGAACAGTTTTCTATTTGCATTGAAACAAGCCTACGCAAAACTATTGCTTCGGTAGACTCTATAGTAAGAATATCATTCTAGTTTTTGACTGCATAGCTTCAATAAAAGGAAAAGAAAAAGAAAAAGAACAAGATGCTGAAGAACATTACTGTTAATCGATATTATCAGTCGTAGAGAATATTTTGAAGATGATAACTTGTAACCTTAAAACAGGTTCAATATCTGAAACAGTGGAGAGAATAGAATTATGGAAGAAAATCTCATTCGATTGAAATTTAAGGCTTCTGGTAAAGTTAAACAACTGCGTGTTTACACATGACGATTTTTGACTAGTCACATAAACCGACTTATTCTTTTACAATCTATTTGAATATGTGTTCGCAGAAGAAATCTGTTAATAATTTTTGAATAGCTTTACGATTTTATTGGGAAAATTCGTGTCATCGTCATTATAATTTCATTGTTTCTGCACGACGCTCATGATTGTTTATGTCTACTTGGCGCAATTAATGTGTCATTCGATAAAGAAAATTTGATTATGCCAAATACGCTTTCAAAGTTGTAGGACACTTAATTGAAACGCAAATAACTGGAGAAAAAATCAGAGGATCCTCTAAAGTTGTATATATTTTCTCCCTTCATTCTTACATCTGATTCTGTAAAAGAATTGAGGCTATATTTGGCATCAGATAGAGCCACAGCTCATGATTGAACTCTCAACTCAAAATTAGCTTTTTATTAAAAAAACGAAGCCTTGATGATGGAAATAACTGAGTCGTGCTCGTTATATTAAAAATTGATAACTCTTATAATAGATTTATTTTTCCGATTTTCGCATTGATGCATTTAATATCTGTTACACATACGCAATACTTTATTAAAGAAAATAGAGCTTTTGGGTATAATAAAATAACTACTGACGTAATCTTTTGAATATATAGGATGATGAACTCTATGAGCGCACTCTGAAACGATCTTCTAAACAACGGCGAGTTTCTCTACTAAATTGAAATTTTATCCAACAAGAATAGAAAGATTTCATTGTCTATTCTTAGAGGATACATGACAAGAGCAGAACAAATAAATCTGTTTCTTTTGCCTTCTCGAATGTAATCGAGTGGTGTTGCACCGGATTAAAACATTCTCTGCCACTCATCATCGATCAACAATAATGAACATCTTACGTATTTCAACAGGGTCAAACCTAGAAGTATATTGTTACTACAATCTATTAACACAATAATTTTGCGTGAGTTTACCTCAAAGTAAAGAAAAATATATTCAAGTGTGTTCTGTAGGAAAATTAATACGCAAGAAAGGAATAAAAATCTCAATTGTAGGCAGTGGCGGCGGAGCCATTGAGACAGGTGAGGCTTGAGCCTCACCTAGATTTCGCAATATGAGACTCAGCCTCACTTGCTTTTGTACTGAATATTGCTATTTTCTTGTTCTTGCATCAGAGTAGAAGCAAAGAAAACTAGTTTTCGGTATTTTCCAATCTTCTTTTTTTATACTGGCCATTTTTATTTTTACTGAGGTTCAATAAAAAGAAGACTTATTTACTACTTGACGTTTCATAAAATTCCACGGTAGCAAAAAAATATGATGAGCCTCACCTAGCTTAATGACGTTCCGCCGCCCCTGTACTATCGAAATAATTCATCAAATCTTTCTCAGATGCTTATTCATGCTTCTTGATTTATGGTCATTTCTCATCGTAGTTGTTTTCTTCTTCAACATACCATCTCAGTTTTCGTGTTCAAACTTTGCATAAATTAAGTTCTTTATTTATTCAATTCACAATAAAGGTTTTATAGATATGCGAATGTGTTATAGGCTCCCCAAATAAAAGTCATTTAACATACTCACACCCGCGCCCGCAAAAAAATGACATGCTATATGTAAATCTGATCAAAATTGACCTCATTGCTTTCAATAAAGATAAAAATATGCCCGACAAACAAACTGCATTTTGTCTGTCAGGATAATGTATACACTACAAAGAACACAAATAAACACACATCTAGTTTATGCTAGTTTGTGTAAGTCATTTGCGATGATAATGTGCTTTCTGCTTCATTGACCTTTGATCATTGAATAAATTGAAACCGGTAAGCCAATGAGCATAACTATGAAAATCCACTGATTTGGCTTTAAGACATGAGCACTATTAAAAGTAGTCTGCTTACACAAGCTCGAAATGGCTCCATTGATTGCAACGCAGTCAGTAGGATATTTTGACGTGCACAATGAAGACGCACATGTAGAGCAATCTTCGACTGGAATGCTCCCAACAGATGTGGCTGTACACGATACACCCCTACAACAGCTACATTCACACGACGAGCCATTAATATCGTGTACCATAGCCAAAAACGCCAATAGCATCAACATGTATAATGAGAAAGATTTCATGTCGTAAGACGATTATAATTCAGGCTTTTTCAAAGTTGTTGATCGAGCTGTTATGGTTAATTTACAAGACTATTTATAGTTGTCCGTAGTTTTTGTCCTCATTTTCAATTAATCCGATTTGTCTTACGATAAGATTCGAAATTTTATTTTGTACATTCTCACATATCCGTTTGTTGTATATCAATATTAAGCATACAAATCAATATTCTAGAAGTGACTTTTAACGAGCTTAGATGAATCAAAAAATTCATGATTCAAGTAGTATCAAATTATTGCTTTCGGTTTCGATTTCATCATGGATCTTATGTGACATATTGACAGGAATAGAACTGAAAACAACGAGTTCTCTCTAGTCCGTAATTTTTTTGAATCAGATGATTGATTTCTGATAATTCAACAAGCCAAATATTCATAGACATTAAAATGATCTATTATTCTAGACCAAAGAATTTTTTCGAACTATACTATTGTTACCAACAAGTCTCGAACTACGAGATTATATTCCATAATTGAGCATTGATGACAATTGCTGAATGGAGATGCTGCTCCAGGGCAAAAGTGAAAATTGATTAGAGCTTATAAGATTTAACAAAGGTTAGTGATATTTCCTCGCACTTAAACTTTAGTATGAGTTTTTGAAGTTAGAAAATATTCTTGATTTCAAAATTTTACATTAAAAATGTTGATTTTCGGATTGAATCGAAATAAAAAGCAATCTTATGAAACGTGTTTGTTCTAGTTATATCGTTCACATCATTTTTCGAATTATCTGCATGTTTCAACTATGAAATCGCGATGGGAAGGCGTTTCTTAATTTTTTCAAAATTTGGCGAATTTTATTTATCGCCGCACAAATATAAAATACAATCGTGTACTGACTATGGCAGATAATGTAATATGGGAGCTTACACAGAAGACCCTATGGATACTATAAAGTTATTAGTATAGAAGACTGAGTCTTGAAGCCAAAATCCAATAGAGAAACGGTGCCCAGCAACCATTGCCACTGTTTGGAGTAGAGTTTCAGCATATGGTTCTCAACGAGCTTCAAATGAATAAGAACCACTGTGACCGCCTCAAGAAACCTGGCTGCCAGTGTATAAAAATGTGTATTTACTGTCATAATAGTGAGCGTAACCATCAGTAGTATCAGTTTCAAATCTATCATTTTTTATTAATTCTAATCCTGTGGAAAGACCTATTATTGATATGTCATCTAGATTCCAAGGAAAGAATCCAGCTTTAAACCTAAATGTCAGTGTCTATTGAATGGATACAGTTGCATAGGATGCGAAATTGTATTTTTTGCAGAAGAATGTGTGAATATTGTATCTGTCGAGTAGAATAGTGTTTCCCGTTACCAGTTCTCCACATTCTGTAGGTTATGATAAAATGATCATTTGAAAAGAAAATTATTTCTTCAGAAACCAATCGATAGGTTTCCTTGTATGCGAATGAATCTTCATGTAAAATAAAACATGATCTGTGAAGCCTTCTCACAGATACGGGTCACACGAAGCACGCTAGGATCTGACAGAATCAGCATATAAAAGGAGTAACTGGTTTTTTTCACTTTTGCTTAAGGCTGGAACACACGATTTTGATTACTGTGGTTTAGCTCTGCTATGTTACACGTATAATAATCATTCTTTGTACGACTATCATCCTCTCTTTCATTTCAATACTTATGTGAATATCGAAAAAGTAAATAATAAATCGTGGGTAAATTTCCATTGAGCTCAACGGATAGTAAGATAGGTAACTTATTTTTAAAAGTTAAATCCCAAAAATATATACGAACACAATTGCTCTGAATTCTTATGCTCTCAAAGTTTTTCATGCAACTAGCAATATGTTGGGTTCAATTTCACTTTAATTCTGAACAAACATGCTATTCACTTGATGTAGCGTTTAAACATGTTTTTTTTAAAGTAAACACTAGAACACAGTTTGTCTTTTTTACAATTGAATGCATTTACTTTGGAAAGTATGATTCATATAAAACACAAATAAGCACATTGCCATGTTTCATTTGAGTGTTGTTCGAGACTTCCTCTCCCATATTTTTTAAAGACTACAGCTACAATATAATGACGTACATATTGAGATATTTACACGTAGAATATATTCAATAGGCTTCACTTTATTGTCTTATTCCATTTGTATGTAGTGGTAAAAAGAGATTGTCATGGATGATAACTCTCACAAACACGAACCTCTTTCACGGCTAAGATCATTTCCAAGGCCACAAACTAATTCCAAAGCAATCACTAGAACAATTACAAGTAGCTTTATGAGAGGAATTCGTCGATTCTTGATTTTCTTGATTCGATTGTTCAGATCTTATTGTGGTTTGCATTAGTGTACTTGCTGGGTTACTAGTAGTGCGATTGACTGTCATTTGCCATTGAATTGGTGGTAATTTCACTCGACTGGACTGAGCTTGGTAACTAGCAGAATGTTGTTTCAAAATATCATCGGATCTTAGATCTTCAACCCGCAAAAGTTGCCGAGTAAATGAACTTGTACCATGCTGTTTGGCTCATCGAGTGATAACTTTTGTTTCATATATACATCTACCAGTAGCACGCAGAGGATTATATAGAACCTGGAGTGTAATTGGGCAAGTGAGATCGTCGTCATCGGTGGTTGGATGCACTTTCATGTTACGACTACCTAGCGTTTCTGTTTCTTTTATTTTTAACAAGAAAAGTATGCGAGCAACGCAATGTTTTTGTATACACACGATACGCACAAAATTGCTCGAAGCAAAACAACAAAGTCGTTTTGCATATATGCGCACTTCCGCTGTTTGATCCATACCTTTTTCGTCATTGTGTACATAAAGACGAAGAAAATTAATTGGCTGACTATGAAATCCAAGCTTTCTTTAACAATGTACATGTCTCCCATTTTTTTATATGAATCAATACCGTCTGATATATTTGGACTACTTTTATCTTGACTATTCTACCTCTAATTATTGTGAGAATATATGACTTTGAGCATTGGATGTCGGTATAACAACTAGTTGAATCAAGAATTCTCGTAAACCGATTAATATCTGCTGAAAAAAAGAACAAGCCTGCTTGACAACGATGAAAGATAATACCAAGAGAATAATTATTAAGAACAACTTCTATTTAAAATGTCAAATTCGTTCACATAGTACAATATTTTAAAATTCCAAACTGATGTGTTTTGTAGCGTCGGATTAACCATGGTGAAAAGTGAAATGTTTGTGAGTTGCGATACAACATACAACAACTGCTAAGCATCAAGAAATCGGTTCATAACAAATGTTATGACTGTCGTGTATCGTGTGTAAAAAGAAATAAAAACTAAAGTTACTATGTAATAAAAAAAGCAAAGCATACAAGGAATATGTTACACACTGTCATTTCTTTACATGAAAAACGTATGAAAGATCAAAAAAGGTAAGTTCAAATCGTGTCCATGCAGATTTCTAAATTGAATCATTGTTACCCATGTTTTTTTAGTCTAAAAATCAAAAAAAAATGTTTCAAGAGAAAATATGTCGAATAGTTTTGATGATTCTGAATCATTCACTATGTCTTTCGATTGTTTGAGAAGAATATAAAGTATTACTCCTAATCGGTTTCCAAAGAAGGTTGTGTGAAAAATAACCGTGTGACTTCGTATCGTGAAAAAGTGAGGCATGTATCTTTTGGGTGAGATTTTAAACTTAGCATGTGCCACTCAGTTTCAGATTGTATAATTATATTTGAATAAACAAATAGATGGCCATAGAGAACTATCATCAATAGCAAACCTACTACAGACTTTAAAATGGTATGAATCGTGCAACAAAACATTGATTTTAGTCGTTTCGATCGAGTTTTCACTAATAAAAAAAACTGTTGACTACTATTTTATGGCATATGTTACCTTAGCCTCCGTTTGCTACAATATTCACAGTATAATCGTGCGTTTCACCATATGCACTAGCTGAGCCACATGCATTGGGAACAGCTCCAAAGGCTAGTGTAGCTCGCATTCGATGATTGCCTGTTACACCTCCTGAAATACTTGACGGAATCGTCATTTTAATGGTTGTATTACCGATACCGATCGTTGGATAATAAGCTACTTGTTCCGATGATTCAAATTGAAAGTTATCATTGAAATCAATCCAAATCGCTAGTTTTTCAGAACCAGAATACTGAGTTGATGCTTCGAATGTATAATTTGTGCCTAGATACAGAGTAACAGATTCTAGAGTTCGATCATCATAGCTGTTCGGTGCGCAACCCGTATTTATATCTTCGATTTGTGTGCCTGATTCACCAATAAATATAAAGTTATTGAGATTGTCGCCACAACAATTACAATTGACAGATTTCGTTTGACAATATGCAGTATAAGTGGTGGTTAAGACAGTGACAACAGTCGATATACAAGTCGTTATTGATGGACTAACAACAAAGATTTGACACTGATAATCTGTTGAATTACCTTGACTCGTCTTAGCCAACGACGAAGAAGAACTAACTGAACTAGCATTCGACCAGATATTCTGACCGGATGGTGATGATTGCCATTGATAGGTAGTACCATTCGTACTAAATGACATATTCGTTAGTGATAAGGTGAATCCTGCACAACCACAGTATGCTGCTAGACTACTAACAGCAACAGCTGATATTTGCATTGTCGTTGTAGTTGTAGTTGATGTTGTAGTGGTGCTCGTACTTGTTGTTGTAGAGGTACTAGTAGTGGTAGTGGTACTATTCGATCCTATAATTGAAAATGTGTTATTGAGTAAATTATAGAACTGCATCTTGATGAAATGTTGTTCTGCATTCATTAGTTTGCTGATTATGATTGTTTCGCTGTCAATGAAACTGTAGTAGTTTCAACTGTAAGATTGAATCGAAATCGTGTATGAGAATATTGCAGTATTCAAAAACAGAAGTATTAAAATCGATGCTTTATCATAGTACGATTATTCTGTGTATTTTTTCTAGTAAAATAATATGAAAAAGTTTATCCGCCTACCTGTATATAACCACATGGTTACAATAACAGCTAAAGCAACACCAACAACTAAACAGCCTATTACCAAACCAACATAACAAGATGTTTGTGGTGGTGAACACAGATCAGCAATACAACCTCTAAAAAAAGAAGTACAATGACAATCCCTATCTTTTTTGTAAAAAAGACTATCGATTAGTGCACCTGGAAAAGCATGTTGTTTTACTTGATGATAAAGATTTTCTATACAATCTCATATTTGATCGATCATCTTCTGACCATGCATCAGTTTTTATCGATTGCCATGACCAAGCATTTGCTGGTGAAGTAGATTTTTGTGACAAGCCAGATGCTTGATCAGCCTGTTTACTTACAGTCGCTGATTGACATGTCCAAGTACTTTGCTGCACAGGAGATACTCTGTTGAGATCAGTACGTGCAGGCCCAATTGAAAAAGCGTTAGTTTTTTTCTGAAAATTGCTGGTACTTCCGTTTAATTTAATAGATTTTTGTGGTGCGAAGTAAGATGCGAAGATGCTATCCGGATTATCATTAGTCTGAACGAAAGCATAACACTATATTATCTTCGAATAAAAAACTAAGAACTAATCAACAGACCATTTTTGTATCTTGTGTCTCGTACCGTATTTTGTTTGTAAGTGAATTAAATATTCATGTGTGAAAATTCAATTTGTTTTTCTTATTAAATCTTGTATGGCTTAACAATACATTGGTTCGGAAGTGGTTCACATAGATTGAGATCTCTCCTCCTCCCGATAGAAAAAGCAAGAGTGAATTCGTTCTTGTTGTAAAATTTATTTTAGAAGAGTGCAAACTGGAGTCATGGAAATAGTGATGAATGTTCGCGTTTAAATATGGCTTTGAATATAATACTTTGATTGAATACAAGTCAGTTTGTTGTCCAGCAAGAATTGTCATCGCTAAGACAGACGCAAAATCCTTACCGTAGCGCTCTATTCACAGTCTGCATCAGAGTTGAAACCGGTCTAAACTTTAAACCGGTCCGGTCCGCCGGTCCAAAACATTTTCTAAACCGCTGAAAACCGGCAAGTTTACAATATGTTTTTTACATAAAAAATGAATGGCAGGCGAAATTTCTTTGTAGTACTTGATAGTTCGGAAAAGGCCTAGCATTTCTCGCCGAATAATCTTTCAAATTAGATTCAATCTTTAAAAATAATGTTATGAAATAAATTAGACATAGGAAATAAAGCTTTCACTTGATTTTTCAACAATGAAACATTTTTTTTCATGAAATTCAACCGTTACTTTGATAAAAGCATGACAAATTGTTATTAATAGCTTTTGCAAGGAAAAAATGACAGATCTATAAAAAAAAAACAACTTTCGACCGGTCTGGCCCGGTCGAACCGGTTCCAACTCTGGTCTGCATATGACAGGATATGAGTAAGATTTACATATGAAGGGCGCACGCATTAACCTCTTACATGGCCTTGAGAGTGCAGGTGTGAGCAATGGCTCGTACTACATTTACACTTGTATCCACTTACATCCAAGCGGAGTTTCAAGCTTTCAAAAAAGGATTTTCTAGATTTTTAATCAAGAAAATTTTTCAAAAGACATCAATAACAGATCATTAAATGCAAAATTTCATGTTAACTGTTTTAGTTAAAGATAATGCAGACTCTAACAGACTTTCTAACTCTCGGTTTTCGAAATAATGAAAGCCAAAGTGTGCCAAAAACGCCAAGGCGTTACGCTCGGACAAAACCATTTATGTACGTGCATGTAATAGACAGCAATAAAAGCTGTTAAGAAACAGACAAACATTTATAAAGACTATTTTCATTTAGTCCATTTGATAGTGTGTGAAAAGGAATTGTATTTAAAATAGAGTCCCTATAAAATATTCGAAGAATATAAAAGAATCAATAATTATCGAATGGATTTGTTAAAAAAAACGAAAATTTTACTGAATAAAAAGCGTTTTTTAGCAATGTTCTACTTTTCTTCATTTTTTATAGGAAGTGTAGGGCGAATCCGACCCCCAGACCATCACAGTTATACTATCAATAGAACCATCCGCGCCCTCAAAAATAATTGTAAGTAACACGTCACAATATTTTTATGGAACAACTTATGTTTAGAATGGTAAGGATATCACAGACAATGATATCGTATGAAAAATGCAATATTCAGAAAGGCATATGTTTTCGTCATCAACTATATAGAAATGACTTTTCATAATAAAAAGAAACTAAGAGAATACAAAAAAAAACGTTCTAGATTTGTTTACTTGAATTTTGGTGCACTTCGATCATTAGTTTTAGCTTTCTTTAGTTTAGCAAGGCTAAAATCTGAAATTGAATTCAATAACTGTGTTCGATCACCTTCAGCAACTGGAGGTGGTGGAGATGCTACGGACGAAGCCGGTGGTGGCGGTGGCGGTGGCGGTGGCGGAGGAGGAGGCGGTAGTGACGTGGGCGCAACTGTCGATGATGCTTGTGAAATGCTCGGTACATCAACACTTGCATATGTGGTCAAAGGTCTTCTTGTCGTAGTGTTCTGTGTAGATAATTGCAAAGGATCAACACTGATTGAACGTTGTAGATTTTCTAGAATTACAAATGGAATGAAATTTTGATTAAATCTACATTAGCAGCTTAAGAAAAATCCTACGGCTATTCTATCTCATCATATCGGAGTTCAAAAAATCTCGAAGTATGAAAAAAGCAGGAATAAAACATACTTGATGCGCCCTGTGAATTCGCATTAGGATCTGCATTTTGACCAAGTGCTTTAGCCTGAAATAGAAATGATAAATTTCATTTTCTCACATTAGAAACAATAGAACAAACTTGTCTTTCTTTGCGTCGTTTAAGTTTTTCTTCATCCGACATGAGATGATTAGTAAGTTTCATACGACGTTGTACATTTTTAATCTAAGTAAAGAAAATCAAGTCAGATTCGAAAAACAAAATGAACTTTACTTTTGCTTGATCGCCCTCTAGTCGAACTTGAGTAGCTCGAGCAATTTGTTCAAATGCTTCTTTTGCTTTTGGACTTAATTTCAATTGAAATCGTTCGATATTATTTGATATCGATGTTTGAAAAAACCTTTAGAAAAACAAAATAATAATAGAAAATTAATTTTCAATTATATATTTACGGATCATCCAAAAGCTCTAGGATTGTTGGCAATTCTCCTGTTGTTGTAAGAATTTTTAAGAGAATATGTTGAACAGGGACCGGTACTGTGTTTGGAAATTCCATACAAGCACTTGTTGGACATTCTTCACCTGTTGATAATTCATAAAGAATTCGTCCAAACCCATAAATATCACAATGCTCGAGTGTCTGTATTTAGAAGTAAGATTTCATTGATAATTTTTTTCATTACTACTTACACGTATTTGTTTAAGATTCGACATATAACAACGATATTTCGATGAAACACCTGCAATTCCAGTGGCTATATCGAGTAGTTTTATTGGTAAAGCTTGATCGAGATCGAAGAGAATATTTCCTGAATGTAAATGTCCATAGACAAGACCATTGTCGTAAATGAAATTTAATGCTTCTAATATTTGACGGCCAAAATTTTTTATTTGATTTAAATCACATACACGAGATAACGATTTTCGGCCATAACGTTTCCAATAGGCACTATTCGTTGGTTTTGTCTATAATTTATATTTCTAATAAACAAGAAACCAAAACAAATGTTTTTTCTCCATACCTGATGAATGTAATCTTTTAATGAACCTTTAGTATAGAATCGACAAACAGTAAGTGTACCGGTTTCATTGGCATAGATTTCATCTATTGGAACTATGAGTGGATGCTACGATATAAAGAACAGTTTAATTTTAATTTCACTTTCCCCAGATGAATGAATGCAAAAGTCGAAAAAATTCTCCTGTGTCGATTGCAAACGTTGTGATTCAAATCTCGGGATATATTTATTTAGAATAAACGAAAACTCACCGCAATAGATTTTAATAATTTCAAACAATTAGCAATATCTTTTTCTCCAAATGCTTTATCTAATCCATAATGACACTAAAATCAACTATCAAAATTAAGCATCAAGAAAATTCAACTTCATACCCAAGATAAAAGATAACGTTCATCTTTCGGTGCTCCAGTTTTGGTTGCTAAGAAATAACTTTTATTGTATCGCCATCCTATAACAATGTAAAGCAAGTTTATGACAAACATGAGATAAAACATCCTACCAAAATCTGGAAGTTGTTCAACAATTTGATAGATATTATTCGTCGAACGAATAAACATGGATACACATTGTAATGCTAATTCTAAAACAAAAGGCGATCGTTTAATATCTATCGAATACATAAATATTCTATAGAAAATACCTGAATAATTCATCATATGATTTTCTGGATCAAGAAAACGTTGAATTGTTAATGAATTACAAAGTTCTAATTGTTGAACAAGTGCATCGAGATATACCTAAAACAAAAATAGTCGATGATATAACAGAAACAACTTATTTTCATTGCATACTTGAAGGCCTTTCTGTCTTTCAGCCATAAACGTTCGATCAGTTCTACCGAGAAGTTTTTTCTTTGGAAATTCGATATCGAAACCGTATTCTTTTAGCATATTATTAAGATCATCAAACTCTCTAAAGCGTTTTGTAACAAGCCATGAACCTGATGGATCATTTGAAACACGGCCAACTCGAATAGTATATTCCTAGAGGAAAACATATTTGACGATAAACATCAACAATCGAAGGCAATTTAAGTTTTCTCATTACTCCATGTCCTTCAATAAGTTGCGAACTTTCAATAACGCAAGTTAATGGAAGAGTATCATCAATCGGTGTTCGTACGCCAATCATTGTTTGAGGAATTATTGACCGTGCCATTGTATAATATCGTTTATATCATTCGTCTCTAAATAGAAAACGCACAAACTCATTTACTCACTATTTCTTCTATTTTTTTTGTGTTCTCTCTGCTTGCACTTGTCGAAAACTACCGTAATGTAAGAAGAATACTTAGAGATAAGAATAGGCATACGCACATTTCAAGTGTTTGTGTATACCGCCTTAGGTTATTTAAATAAATAAATAAAAAAATTATTTATAAATACTGGAAAGAACAGCTTGCTGGAAATTTATCGCACATTAGAAAAATAATTAAAAACACAAGAAAATATAAAAATTGTTTAGGAAAGTTGAACAGCTTCTTCGTCATTTGTATCACCGCTGTCATCTTGTTCATCGTTATAAATCATTGCGCAAGAACGTTTCGAATGATGATGGTTATGATGATGATGATGATGATGATGATGATGATGATGATGATGGCCATTTTTTCGTCCTATAAAAAGTTCGCAATGATATATTGTAATGATTACGTAAACTCAACATACGTCGATGCTTACGTTTCTTTTCAAGCGGACGTGTGGTATCGATTTCAAGTTTTGATGTTGCTGTTGTGACTACTGCTGTCGATGATGACGATGATGATGTTGTTGGTGATGGTGATTTTGAATCAACAATTACAACTCGATGATGATTTTCCATCGGTTGGTTATGAGGAAAAAACTGATCATGGTCCGCTGTTGAAGTTTCATCGTAATTTTGCTTGATTGGCCGAAATGAAAAATGGTCGATCTCTTCACGAATTGCATTTTGTAATTGATTTAATGTCCATTTCTAAACAATAAGTAGCGCGTTTTTCAGAAAAAAAACTACCAATGGAAATGCTTCAAATTTACTTCACTTTCAAAACCAAAATCAAATTTTTCGACATCATTGTCTATCATACAATCATCATTGTCATCTAATTTGATTAGAAATTCGTTAACAAAATTATGTTTTAGTGCTGCCGTTGCACGTATTCGTTGTTCAGGATCGATAACTAATAACTGACGCAATAAATCAATGCCATCATCGGTTGCACTCGGATAAAGAGCTTTAAAATTAGCTGGTTGACGATTACCAACACCTAATGTAAAATAGAAGCGCACTCCTGTTTTTTCATTGCTCTTTATAATATTTACTTAAAATTAATCGCCGAAAACAATCACTACGAAGTGAAGTTAAATAAGCTTTTGATGGTGTACCAAGAATTATAAAAATTAATTGAATTTGTGCAATAGTATTCGTACCTATATGTTGATTGAATATTTATCACATTTATAGAAAAATAAAAATTAGAATTTCTACCAGAAAATATTGGTTTTCGTCCAAACATTTCAGCTAAAATACAACCCATCGACCATAAATCAATCGCCTGAGAATATTCCGTATAACCAAGAATAACTTCCGGTGCTCGATACCAACGTGTTACGACATATTGTGTTTGATCATGATCACGATATTGTCGAGCCATGCCTTTTTTTTAGAAAAAAAAAGTTTTCCCTCGAAGTATGTTGTTTAAATTTTCTTACCAAAATCAGCTATTTTGAGATTACATGATTGATTAAGAAGAATATTTGACGGTTTGAGATCGCGATGAATCTAAATATTCAAAACAATGTCTCTATCAATGATTTGTTTAACTCACAATTCCCGATTGATGAATGAAAGCTAGACCATTTAACATTTGATAAGAAAAATATTTAATATGATCATTCGTTAACGTTTGATTCGATTCAAGTACCCGCTTTAAATCAGTATCCATATAATCAAATACAATGTAAACATGTTTTTGATTATTTGAATCAAGAAAAACGTCTCGAATTGTTATAATATTTTCATGGTTAACAAGATGACGAAGAATTTTTATTTCACGATACGTTCTCATCCCGATAATAAAGTGATCGAAAACATCAGCTATCTTTTTAATGGCTACGCTGGTCCCGATTTTACGATGATGTGCAAGACATACTACACCATATGCACCATTACCTATGCACAACAAAATATCATACTCATAATTAAAGAAACAAAAAAGAAATCTCAAAACACGATACCAATATTTTTTATGGGTTCATATTTGCTTTCATGAAAATCAAACTTCACGTCGAAATATTGTTGATCTAATTTTTCATTCATGATCTAAAAAAGTAAATATAGTCAATTTTCATACCTTTTTCAATTTGATTCTCAATAAAGTGCAATCCTTTAATCCACGACCTTAACAAGATGAATAAAAATTTCTTTTCGGACGATGTCATTCTGATGATTCATTCAATTATAGTAAGCGTCCTCAAAATCTCAATATTTAATCGAAAACAAATTAAGTGATGCGTAGCATAATATTCTACGGCGTGCACTATTTGACAGGAAAACGAGAAAAAAAATTATTTATCTGCCAACTGATATCTTTATAATTGCTTTTTTTGATATGCAAGCAATATATATTTGTTTCGTATCAAAGTTGTTGATCGTGTGGCATGAAAATACTTGCTTGCAGCTGTCAACACATCTGAAGAGAATGACAGTAAAACACAAGTTCTATGATTTTTTCATGATCGTGTCGATATTGAAAGGATCATTTTTGTCTTCGAGTAGTCATAATCATCGAAAAATCTTAAACAAGACAATATTAGTTAATTATGAGCGTTATTCGGACATGAAAAAACAAAATGATATTCGTCGATGAAACTTGTGCAAATGAATTTTCTTCAAGTTGAGATTAAAAAAAATATCAAGTCATTGGCAACATATCAGATTTAACAGGAATGCACTCAATAAAAAACAAAGTAGGGATCGAGATATAAAACAAAGATTTTGTCCTGCAAGATTCTACTCTATACCTCAAAGTGTATTTAAAGAACCATAGTAAGAAATTTCCGTTGTGTTTTCAACAGATCAATATTTCATTTTTCAACTTCTATTTCATTAAATAACAAGAATATTTTTTTTTGCTTGAAATATGTATATTTAAGGATATATAGAAGACAAATTCGCTTATACATACACATACATAGAGAAACAAATGTACATCATACAGAGAAAAAGACACGCACATAAAAAGATGCATTTTCTTTCATTAATCTTTCTGCTATTAAATTTTAAAGCAAAAATGTTGTTGACTTCTTTGGAAGATTCGTCGTCTATAATTATTTTCTCTTTGTTTTTCATGGAAATTGGGGAAAAAACGACGAAATTCTCCTTCTTCTTCTTGTTTCAGTATCACTGTTATTGCCCGCACACACACACATGAAGAATATTTCTACATAGTAAAAAAAGAAGAGAACAAATAGAGACGTGCACACAAAATAGTTTCAAACTAAAAAAACAACCGAAGAGAACCGAACAAATAGAAACTAAATAAACGAAATGAGATTTTTCTTATCAGAAAATGTATATGTGTGTGCGGATTTGAAATTTAACCAATTGAACCAAAATGATTATAATCATCATTATGTGAACTATTCGGTGTTTTATCAAATTTCTTAACTTCTTCTTGCATCGATTCTTTTAGTTTCAGTATAGCGTTTGTATCATTGCTTGGATCTTCTGAATAATTATAATTTGTGGCATCAGGTGGTAGCGGTGGTTGAGATTGTTGTTGTTGTTGTTGTTGCTGCTGCTGCTGCTGTTGTTGATTAGGTGATTGTTTCATTTGTTGATCATAATCACCTAAAACATCTTGTTCAAAAAAATTTCTATTTATAAAATAGTTAACTAACCATGATGTGTCATATCAGGTGGAATATGAGATAGATGTGGATCGTGATACTACAAAATAAGAAAAAGCTATTAGCGCAATCCCCATGGAATTAAAATGCGAAAGATGAAGTAGATAAGCGTGCTTATTACAGAAATATCATTTTTATTCTATTCACTTTCGCACATATTTCTTCGTAGTTGTTTAGAGAAATATTTAAAAAAATACTTTATATAGTATGAGAAGCTGAGGAATAGAATAATAGGGTATGCATAATAGAAACTAAAAGATAATATCATCGAATCGTAAGCATCATTTTGAAATGAGAGACTATTGACTCGAGTTTAGTTTAGAAACACGTTCAATACTCTTTTTACATTGTCTCTGGCAAAACAAGTGAGTTATTAAAGTTTATATAACGTAATACTACCATAGGATTTGGTCCATGGCCCATTCCAGGAGGCATATTTCTCATAGTATATGGTTGCATTTCTGGATTATTTGGATCTAAATAGAAGATAATTGTAAAAAATACTAGTATATATTCTTTCCTATACAAACCTTGTGGGCTCGGCATCATAGTTGGTGTTGTCGGTGCATGACCTGTCGGACAGGGAGTCTAAAATAATAATGATCATAGTATCGCTTTTTATTCACATAATAGATAATCGGTACATACTCCATAAGGGATAGGTGACGATGATGAATAGCCAACCTAAATTTATTTTATAAATATGAAAAGCAATAATTACTAAAAAATGAATTTACTCCTGGTGAATTAGTAATGTGCATTCTTGGTCCAGGTTGATTGATCGATGGTGACATGACTTGAGGTCGATAAGTATTTGGTAATTGTCCACCAGGACCTGGATGGCCCATGGGATTCGATGGCATTCTAGCACCCGGAGATGTCATTCGCATACCTATTAACAGCAAATCCATTTAGCTTTTGATTTAAATTTTTTTAAGCAAAACTAATTACCATTTCGACCGCTATCCATTTGTGGTGGCATACCGGGTCCACCCTAAGCAATGAAAATGAATAAATAAAAATTTAATTGAGTAGTTTGTGTATTTACGGGATAATCTGATTGCTGTGGCATACGAATAAGTGAACGTGGTGGAGCATTTGGATAACGGGGATACTAAAATAATTGTTATTTAAAGTCAAATCTTAGTAACCTGTTCTACCTGATTCATCATATGTTGTCCCGATGGCTATACAATAATAATATTCAAAAAAATTACGATTACAAAATTTATCTTACGGGAAAAAATGGTACGTTTGGATTATGCATTCCTTCAGGAACACCCATTGGCATTGGTGGTGGACCACTCGGATTCGGATTTTGCTAGAGGAAAGAAAGAAACGATTCTTCAATTTCAAGAAACTTTTCACAAAAAGATCTAGTTCTATACTTGAGGAGGCATGCCATTTGAATTTATAAATCCCTGAAAAAAATCAAATTAGTTCTTTTTCTGTTGAGTTTAATACAGAAATTCCTTACATAATCATGAAAAGCTTTGGCTTCTTCAGAATGTGGATGTTGATCACGACGTTCAGGTGCAGCACTATATAAATCCCAAAATACACTAACATAAAATTTGATTTCAATTACAATTGATTATTCGAAATGAAAGTATTGTTCTTACCACCACCAACTAAGCAAAAATCCGGGTGGTTCACCAAGTGACATTTTATTCGGTTCCCATTTCATCTAAGCATATGATAGCAACATAAAAAAAAAACATTAGAAATAAAAATATCTGACTTACATCCGCACAAAAACCCTGAGCAGCTTTTGCGGCACCGATATGATATAAATACTCATAAACGTAGAGATTTAGTCTATGAAAAAGGAAAAACATATATCTTTTTTCAGTACAAATTATATACGAACTTTTCTTTTGCGTGAATATCAGATGGAGCATTGATAGTCTTATTTTTTCCGTACATGATATTTTATTTATGAATGAATTTACTTAGGATAAACATTTGATAGGAAAGAAAATTATTTTTTTATATAAATACGAGATTGATTGATTTGCTGTTAATAAATTCTGTCAAGTAGGTACCATTGTTCCATTTCGTGTACCTCTATCGGTTTCACTTATTCTAGATGAAGAATTGAAATAAATGCAAAGAAAAGAATTGATATGACAAAATAAATATTAAATTATTACGAATCGTTTCTTTTAAAAGAATTTTTTTTTTTTGAAACGTATTGATAGATATGTTTTGATTGGTCGAAATTTTGACCAATGCACTTTGGAAAATGCATGAATGAATCATTATGGAAGGATGTGTATGTGTCATTCATTGTGCTTCGTTGACGTAATCGATTGTCATGTTATGGAATGATTTGTGGAGTTTGTTCATGTCGCGATACTATTGGGTAAGTTTGATTATTAACAGTTACGGTAGGGAGTTATCATTATCGTTCCGAAAGAGAATTTTTATAATTAAAATCTTTTACTGTTCGTAGCAGGTTTTTTAATGATGAGTTCGAATGCCATGCAACGAAATAGCTATAGGAAATAACATTTTTTTCTATATTATTTAGTTAAAATATTTATTGGGGGTGCGACCGAAATGTTTTGTTTTGTTTTATAGAGAACTTATTTTTATATTGAAGAGAAGTATTTTTATAAGAAATAGTTTGCCAAGAAAGTTTTACTTCATAGATTAAAGCAGAAATATTATTTTAACAAACACTTTTTCAGCTCTTATTAACATTGCAAAAGACTTAGAAATGTTTTCTAAATTGGATGCGCTAAAAAATTCATTCTATTACAAATTTGCAAAGACAATTTATTCTACTCTTCCAGAACATGACCAAAGCTTCGTACGAGTAAGAACAATTAAGTTCTCCCCAGTCATTTTTCTTCTGATTGTGTCACTAGTAAATATTGAATTGCATGTAACCGCATTTGAAAACAACTGATTTTTCATTTTGTTTTTCTCAATGATTACTGTACAAATTCAAGATAGACACACGATGAAAAACAATAAAAATTCTAGTGAATCATCGCAGAGATATCTCTGTCGGACATTGTGCGATTATGTGAGTCACCTTTTCTGTTTTTTACATATGAAATTTAAAACAAATACTCAAGGAAAATTTCCTTTGCGCATAACATAATTTATCAATAGAAATCTAGTGAGTATCGATTGAATCGGATAACTTTTTGTGAAACTCGCATATGTTTTCCTAGAAAATGGTGAGTGTAAGTTTAATAGCGAAATCTTTGCGGTTCCCCCTCCCCATTACAGACATTAATGAGTTTAAGTTGTGCTAATTAGAAGCTAGAATAAATAGGCTGCGATTTTTTTCTTTTTTTGACTATAGGCTATACGGAAAAAAGCAAGATCTATTCATTACAGACCATAGCAACTAGAGTCTGCCATCGTTAAACATTCAAACTAACAACAAAACTCCACATTACAGGCATAAAGAAATGGGTAATGCTCTAACCAGCGTTCTCATAACAAGTTTAGCTTGTTATCTAATTTCGAAAACACAATACAAGAGATTGTGAAGTTCGTTATCAGATAAATTTTATTTTTGTTGATAATGATAGAACGAAAAGTCTGTTTTGTAGGAAAATAATCTTTTCGTTGCTGGGTATTAATTTTTGCTAATGCTTTATTGAGTAATTGCTGCTAGTACATAGACTAGCTATAATAAAATAAGTCTCCGCACTGAATCTAACCGTAAACTAGATATATTCTTTATTTCAAAATCTTTTTGGTTTGTTTAAATTATTATTTTACCTACCAGCAGACTTTCTTAGAGTAAAACTGATCGTATCTTTCATCTCTGAAACATAAAAACCTTCTCTATTGTTCGATACAAATACTGATGATTCCCTTGATTATTAAACTCTTCTATATTATAAATAATTTTAGATCATATTTACAATTATTCCTTGTATAATTGTAAAAATGTTAACACTTTATACTCAAAAAACTGTAACCGACGACGATCATTCATTGGTTATGACTGATGGAGAACGTGAACAAATGAAAATTCTTGAACATGAACGTAGTTTAGCATTTGATAAATATTATCGGTTTGGCCGAACTGCTGAGCCATCGCTTGTACTTGATGATTTTCTTTTTCTCGGAAATCTGCAACATGCATCGAATCGAGTTTTACTTGAACGATTTAAAATTAGTATGATGTTTCTCTCATGAAGTTCCTTATTCACAACATTTTTTTTATCTATTTAGAACATATATTAAACGTATGTGATTTAGGATTAGAACAAACCATTATGGATAATTTCAATGTTATTCATATTCCGATGCCTGATGAACCTCAAACAAATATTAAAAAAGTATAAAAGCTTGTTAATAGCCTAAAAACTACTCTTTTGTATGCATGTTGGGGCATAGTTCTAGATCATAGCTTACTTTGTAGCCTAGAATTTCTACAAGCAAACACTTCATATATATATATATTCCGAATTAAGTAAAACCTCTAGAGGGGGGTGGGGGGTGATGGCAATTTTTTTCCCATTAAATAAATTTACGC